GGGGCGTTAACCAGCCGCCCTAGGTCGCGCCCCGAGTGCAGACGAGTGTTGCGCGCGCCGCGCTGCCGCACCAACGTGGACAGTGCTGGGGACACCCAACTGGGGGCGCCAGCGACACCTGCCGCGGGACCGCCTGGAGCTGGTCAGGCTGCGGAGAGCGGGGCTAAGGATGCACTGCTCCACGTACCGTCTTCCCTTCAAATGGGGAAACTGAGGCTTGAGAAGAGACTGCATTCCCGCACTGTGGCCGCTGTCCTGAGGCCAGACCCTCGGGGACCAGTTAGGCTTTTTGCCACTGTTGCCTTGATGGCCCCTGTGGACCCGCTGTGCAGAAGCCCTGCTTGGTTGGGCCTTGGCTCGGCACCGAACCCCAGGGACTCTGGAGAGCAGGTGGCCCTGCCGATTGCTCCTCTATGAAGCCAGATGGTTTGGAGAGAAAGCTCCCTCCTCAGGAGTTTCCCTGGCCCTGTATCTGTATTGTCCCAGACTCACCTGTGAGACCTTTGTCCCCACCCTGGCTCACTTCCACAGTCCCGATGAGAGGTTAGGTCTGGGTAGAGCTTGGCCAGGAGGAGAAAGGGCAGGGCCGTCCATGTACCAGGCACCTCGGAGGCCCCAGGACCCTGGGGAAAAGCAAGCTGTGACAGGCTCAATACCCAAAAGGCAGCCAAGTTCACCACCTTCCAAGACCAAGAGCTGAGCCAGGAAAAAAAACCTCCAGAAGAAGGGGAGACTCAGGGTCCTCACCCTCACACCAGTGTGTTAATCCTCTCACATCCACCTCCTGTCCAGAGCAGAGGAAGTGGGCCTGGGAGGCTTCTCCCCAGGTTGTGCCCCCTCCAGGCCCGCTGGACACTCACATACCCCTTCCTCTGAAGTCTACCTCCCCCAACCCTGAAAACATGCAGGGCCAATTCTTGACACAAGAGCACCTGTGCAGCATATGAGCATGCTGGGCAGGCAGCCCCAGGAACCCTGATGTGCCTGTGCCCAGCTCAGAGCAATGCCAGAAGATTGCCTGGGAAGGCTCCTCAAGCTCCCCAGCTGGGGAGTGAGGATCTACAGGAGAGGGAG